CGCATAGAGACTACTTTGTAAATAACAGAGTAAAGCAAAACTTAGCCTAGTTCCTCGAATTCGTGTTATAACATAGCTAGTATATCCGTGGGATCTGAATCAATAGCACTAGCGTGCATCACGATGCAGTGATAACAACATTCAATAGCGACACTCTGTGCTCCACAAAATCTTCAAATGACCGTGCAAATAGCCGCACTAACTAGACTTTATCCCTATCTCAAAGCGAGAGAAAAGTCCATGTTCATTACGAAAATGTTTAGCTATGGTGAAGGTCTTTTGTTGGCGATCTTTTGGCCCCACAGTCACCGAACAAACTAAAAACGGAGCAGAGAGAGTCGTTTTATATGTAGTACGGACAAAAGTGAATTTGATTTCATCATCGAAAAAAGTTCTGTTTTTGTTCTCGTTTGTTCCCGATCGTTGTGGCTATGTTATGAAGAATTGGATCATGTTTTTAGCTGTGCATCTTTCGAGTTGTGGAGAGCACTTAAGAAGGTAGACTGAGCAGCTCCTGGCTGTATCTCGAGCAGTTCTTACGCTTCTCTCTTGCTCTCCAAAACTCCCGTGTGGATCCATAACTCGATAGAAGCTCGCTAAGCTGAAGCAATTGTTATTTTTTGATGAGAGAGTTGCCATGTGCCATTGATGAAATCCCCGAATCGATAGTACATCAGAACGTGCTATATCAAGCTGCTCATGCACTTCTGCTCACTGCAGCAGTCACTTCAGTTCCTTTCAATATCGTTTTGTATCATACATTTTACATGTTAAACTTACTTATTCAGCATTTATACCTTCTAAGATGGTAAAAGTAGAATTTAGGAACCACGGCTTGGGCATTGGCCTAACCGATATCAAGCTTTACAATTTATGTACGATGAAACTTATATATATTGTCATGTAATTTACACTGTAAATAATAATTATTAAACAAAACAAAACACTTAAATTGTAACTCTAGCAATTCCGTTACAGGCTTTTGCTACGAAAAACTTCAATTCCAGTTGCTAAAGTAAAAATAAAAGTTGTCTATAAAATGATCTATTATTCACAGTTCAGCTAAAATATTTTTTCATCCTATACTATAAAATGTGGGTCGCATAGTTCGATCCTTGTAATATCATATCCGAGGCCTAAAACATGTTATATATTTGCACAATTTGCTCGTCTGATCCTAGCAACACCCCGACAAACCCAGTCTGTTTTACAGTGTTTACATCAAAATATATATGTACCATGCCTTATATCTTTACAAACGTGTAGTGAGTCTTAGATGTACCTTAGTCCCCTATACTAACCATGCATGGTTTCAAGTTATCGGAAAATTTAAATAACTCTGCCGACCTTCCTTGCAGACAACAAAACGTACCTCTTAATTTTAAGTCGACAGACCGGATTCCCGTCCTTGTCCTGCGCCAAACACCCAGAAGTCCAGAGGCTTCGCTTATTACTTCAGCGGGATAACGCTACAGATATCTCGATAGTGTGTGTTGTAGAAAAAGCCCATTCTAAGGTTTCATGCCACTTAAAGACCCACTCTTTATCTCCAGGATGTTTACGAGAAGCGCCGTTATGTCAGAATTCAAGAAGAGCTCCTTGTACATTGTTTACCCCAGGAAGATATAAAATCAGTTACGCACACGTCGTATAGATCTATAAAAAAAAACTGGTTTAAAAGACTCACGTAGCAATGATAAAACTGATAAACATTTATAGGGATCGATCGGAAATTATCACCTTCTTTTACGTTTTTCCGGTTAAGGCCATCTTGTGACGCAACTGCTATCAACAGAGAGATCCTTTCTGTTCTTCCAATGAAACCAAATCGATAACACGGAATATCAGAGAAATCAACTGGAAAGAAAATACACTGAATTTCTACGAAGATTACTGGTAGCCGAAAACTAGAGGGAGTTTATCCAGGCCCATGAACATGTTGGGATTCCATCCAACTTTTGTCTTTAAGTTGGAGAGATTTTCATGCCAGGCTTTCTTCTTGTTGCCCATACAAACAATAATGCATCTGCTTTATACGTGCATAACTTCATTACATATGTGAGATGATGTCTCCCAACACCTGCTAGCTACGGATCGCAGAAATAAGCTACAGAGTTCGTGAATCCAATATGTTTTTGGCTCTCAATCTCTCTAATCGTCCCACGTTCGATGCATGCCTTCCGGAATAGAATAACCGGTTGTAGTCACGAATCAAGGAAATGATTGAAAAAATACATAAATAAATAAATAAAAAAAAAAATGATGACGGAGCGGATTACCAAGTTCTCATTGCCGCCAGTAAGAGCAAAACCGTTGTCAAAAAAGAAACAGGCACGATCCATGCAGGCAGGGGTGAATACACACATTGGAAATATATTTCCGTAGGTGCACGATGAGATTGCACTTTTGGCTCAACATTTCAAGACGGACAAAACAAGGTAGGGAAGTGAAAGAGAAGTCAGTTCCTTCTTTCATTATGACCTGTTTTATGACATTTGTAAATGAATTTGTAAACTTTCAGGTTGCGTCAATTCGGATAACAAGATATTTTACGAGCTTCCATTTCGTTAGTCTAGTACTAGTGCTATTAGCACTATCATCCGGCATTAGCAACGTGGCATCAGACAAATACTAACTGAGAAATAGAACGGTCCTTCGAACTGGTTCGAACGAAATCGAAACGAAATACTTCGCCGCTATGTTATTTTACTTCCCGTTCAAAACATATTCCTAAGTGTTCTTCATACATTGTTTAATAACAATACGATTCGCTCAGAAGGCGAATATTCTAGAGTTATAGATGAAATAATTCCGCCTGAGCCTATCCTGAGCATTTGGGGTAAAGAGCTACAAGGAGAAAGGTAAATCTTCCTAATGAGTGGTCACTACCGTCTCGTATGAATCTGCATGCAGTTGCCAAGGACAGAAAGAGGAGGATAGAAGAAAAAGACAGTTGTTAAAACAAGTAACAAACTATATATCACGCGCTCCAATCATTTTAGATCACTGCTAAACACCAGCTCATAACTCTAGTCTGTTTATAACAAAATCTGTAACATGCCACAGATATCTATGATACTATTAATGTCATCTTCCTGTTGTAAACTTCCAGCAATCCTTGAGAGACGTTGCGTTCGTCGCAGGTTCCTTTTAGACTGAAACATTTGAGCGAAGAAATGAGAAATTTGCGGCCGAGCACTTCACTGGATAGCAAGACCTTACCTCTTCTCCACTGATCGGTTGCAAGTCTCGTTTTGCAGCCGTGTAGGAAACACTTAAAAGCCAAACGGTTGTGATTATTACTCTAAGACCGTTAACTTTGAGTATCACAGTTGGTATATTTGCTACCAGAGTTCATTCGGAGATTTTGCACCAATACTTCTAATAGCAAGTAATTGTCTTAAGAATCACGGCGAGAATATAGCACGACGAGGCAGTCCTATCTTTTGCCGTTCGTAGGTTAACGTTAGAGTTACCCGAGTTTCGACGGTCGATGGCCTAGCAAGTGAAAATTAAGGAAAGTGTTTCTAAATCCTCGCGTAACGGTCATACCTAAAGACCACTGAATATTGTGCAAACGGAAATTATTAGCTACGATTTCCGGTTGTGGTCGTCCTTCGCGACAGCCAGACATAGATATCCTCCGCGCTATCAGTCTAAGAATGAAATCAAATAGTATAGCCTATAGTTTGCCAAAGAAAACGTATTGAGTGCCTGCGTATAATTTGACATCACCGGAAAACAAGATGGCCTGTCTTAGCCCTACGAGAACGCTGTCTTGGAAATGATTAATTATGTACTGAACACGAAAACTGGTTCGCTAGGCATGGTTCGTACGGAAAGCTCAAACCTCGAATACAGCTCCAGATTCTGTAGCCTATGAACAGGCTCCGGCTGGAAGGGTCTGACTGCGGCTTGAAGGACCGAGAAGATACTGACTGAGTTTTCCCGCTTTCTCTTCGCTCCATCCTCGACTAGAGAGCCTGTTAACAGTTTTGCGAGAAACTTTCAAGGCGGTAAACTCTGTAAATCAAGCGGGCAATCCGAAGTCTTGTACCATGTTTACGGATCGAGTAAATGAATAAGTTATAAACAAGATAATAGCAGGAATATCTGCTCAAGAATATATGGTCTAATCTATTTTTTTTGTTCACTTCATGCGTCTATACGTACATCTTTGATCTTGCACTGGATCCTTCTGGGTCAGTTGAACTTTTTAAATGTGACCTAAAAGCAAGCAACCGATCTGCAGTCACGAGCTAGCGACTTTGTGAATAAGTAAAGTGAAATCAGAAAGATTATTTTTTTATATATTGTTCTCTCGTCATCAAGGTGGAACTCCATACCACCACTAAGTTTTATTCTTTGGTTCTTCCTAGTTTTTATTCAGTTGCATCTTTTTGGTATACGTGTTTGCAATCGTTTGTGTGTTCTTTTATATCTTTTATCATATCATGAGTTGGGTTATATCAATAAAAAAGAAATTAAAGCAAAACAAAGCATTAAAATTGTTTGAAATTTCTTCTATCAACTACCCAGCTTTGTTTCCGTGAAAATTTCTGCCTCAAACTTTGGGTGGATTTCAAAACAAACAGTAAGGAACAGGAACAAGGCAATTTATCATCCAGAATATTTCACTTTAGTAGGTACATCATAAATGTCCATGATTTGCTTGCCTGTCTCATTCGACCACACCTAAAGTTCGCGTTAGTTGTCCGAAATTGCGAGTTCTAAGTATGCATACACACGGAAGGAAAACTTTGGCATTAAAGGTCACAGCCGTAGAAAAGTATAAAGTTGCATCTAAAAGAAAGCCTTTTGATTACCTAGTCAAAGACCGCTTAATGTTGATTTAAAATTTAAAATATTTACTCATGGACCACACAGTACCGGATTTTGTTTGAGTCTGATTAAAATATGTCTTGCCAGGTAAGATCTATATCTCTAAAAAATCTCATACTGAAGTGTCTTAAAATACATTTAGCAAAATAATTTTACGATAAAATTCAATATGCTACACTTGTACTTTTACATACACCTATAAAGAGAGAACTATAATCTCAGTTAACGAACGTCCAGTCTCACTTAGGCCGCCTTATAACTAGGCTCAATCTGTTTGCGCCGGAGCTCAAAAGATGGGTTTACTTAGCTCGAATAGGTTCTCAAACTACCGGAACTGGGATTAACATAACATTTATTTACCTCCAAGAGTTAAATCCCGGATTTAAAACATTAAAGGACTTAGAAAGGTCAATACACGTAGAACACGTAATTAAATGGATCAATTTTCTTCCGATTTTTAGGCTTCGTTGCAATTCACAGCTATCAAAAATAACTGAGAGCAAAGTTCAAATTCAAAGTTCACTTATTATTTCATGAAAACCACTAATGAATTGCTTAACCGACCATTCAAGAGAATTTTACGATTAGTCTTCATTGAACCAAAAGACCCAATCGTGGTTTTATTGCACGCTAATCCCAAACCTAAAGATGAAATCTTGATCAGGGCCTCCCTGGGGAGTCACGTGTTCTCTTGATCCCTTAAAAAATTCGCATTTTCCTCATTGCTCCTCGATTACGGATTTCACGAATCCCTTTTTTTAATAGTTCCGAAAGATCAAATTAATCCAGAAAAATATCCCTTGTTCCCTTGAAATAAGAAACCGCGCTCCATTATTTCCCAAATCGCAGGTCAGATTCTCAAGTTAGCCTTCATTGCATACATGGTGCTATGTTGCAAAAAACGTTTTCTCTTTTGGGCTCCAAAGTAAGTAAGAAAATTCCATCGACCTAATCCATCATTCCAATCACCTTGAGTGAGGGTTGGAGATAAAAAACAAAAAAAGAGGGGAACTTAAATGACCCAAATTTATCAATTGCTAATTTCTCTCACTGTGTACTTGAAGGGCAACGCTGTCAACAATTGGTGTATGAATTGAAAGAAATTTACGCAGTCACACACGCCTACCATAATCACGACTCTAGTTGCCCTGTTGTTTACCACTGATTTTCTTTATTTCATTTGGTTGCTAAAAATAACTGCTATCTCCTATGTAAAGTATAACTCAGTGTGCCTTAGACCTTGGACTAGCTGCAAGTTAAATTGGCTGCCGCCCCCTGGCAATCAAGCCACTATACAGATTTGAAAAAATTCGAAATCGAACATTATGTCAATTATGTAGACATGGTCTACCCCAATCATCATCGTGGTTTTTGATCAATTTGGTTGTGGTTTCAATTCCAAGAACCTCAGGGAAAAAAAAGGTTGCATCAAACTTTGCAAGCATGCAATATGTCGTGAATAATAACTAGCACGATATCAAAACCATACTCGGAAGGAAAGTACTGGTCATAAAAATGATATGCAGCCATTATTGTTTGAGTTGAGGCCAGGAAAGGGTTTAAAGTCCAGCCTAAGGTCACTTGGGAAACGTGCAGCTAATCACGCATAACTTGTGGCGGCTGTACAACCTTCCAAGAAATGATTCACAGTGTTATCCGCAGTCATTTTGCACTTCACTGGCTACCAGAGCCTAACTTCAGGAATATATTTTCCCTATAGCCAAGTACGTGGTGCGAGCTTATTAACAAGACAAAATAAATCCCCTGGTTGCCATGTACAATTTAAAAGATAAAAGTCTCCGGAAATAAGAATTATGAAAACTTTAGATGGGGCGTGACCATAAATTGACTAAGTCCCTATTTTTGCACCTACCAAGTTTATTTTAAGTGAAAACGACGCACACCAGTACGTCAGTTGTGTAACGGTCTAGGTGCATCTTGAAGCCATGTGGCTGTTACATAATACACCCTTCATAATCCAAGTTTTTTTTTTTCTATTTTACTACCATGGCTACATGTAGGTGTTTGAGAAAGAAAGCTTCTTGCTGTGGTTTCAGCCGCAAGAACACACTGAATTTACATAAGCTTAGTGAAATCCGTTTACTGCAAGCCTTAAACAAAGTTTTCAACTGTTCTACGTTTACGTAATAGCATAGTGCCGAGGATTTCTATTTCCCAAGGACGATTAAAAAAAAAAAAGCTATAGGTCATGGATTGCCTCCAAACTATCACCACCAAAATTACCTAGAGTCTTGGAATGATAAGAATAAGGTTATGAGTTATAAGGTCCAAAAGTCTCTCATAACTCATAAGGAAGCCAAGAAATGTGTTTATTGAGCGACGCTTTTTATGAAGGAACAAAGAACAACAATATTGCTGATTGTCTCTTCAAAAGTGGAGAAACGATGGTCTTTTTTACATAACTCCAACTGTTTTCGTTGTTGTTGTAAAGGACAGAGAAAGGCATGATATGAATTTTGAAGGCGTAACCAAAATTAACGCAAGTTTTTGAGCTGTGATCAATAAATACGACGAACGGTAGAAGTGCATTTATATAAGCAATCCAAAATAGACAAAAAAATGTCTAACAGCATTCTGTTCGTTCTAAGGTGATATCGCATTCTCAGTGCAATCTGCTAAATTACATCCCGTTATTATTGAGACGTTTTGTCTCAAGAAAAGAAGCTGATGTCCGTAATCCAGATAGCATTAAAATTTGAAAAAAAAAAAATTGTTTTGCGACCTCGGCAATGTTTTTGGGGACGGCGGGTCAGTTGATACTGAGAGTCCCTCACAGACACCCATCTTGCGATCAAACTTTCCTTCCTTATTTTTAGCTCCTCCGGCAGCTTCTGTCTGTATCTCGTTTCTCAATGTAATTGTGCATGGTCTCTTTTTTATTTAACCTTTGCTAAGTTGTTAACGATCACTAATGCACAGATTTCATTAGTTTCAATTGTTAAAAATTACGCACAATAACGTTCTTACCGAACTAAGGGGAAAAAACGCATATGCTATTAGAGTCCGTGTGGGAGGCGCGGTGGCNTTCCTGCTTAATCTCCCGTCTAGCAGTGTGACGTCACAATGATCGTTTTCACAATTCGTGGGCCCGTGACGTGGCGCGTGGCAATAAAAGGTGGGACGTTGCGTGGAAAGTTAGTTCAATGAATCGACGCTAACGAGCAGCAACTGTAAAGACGAAGCAACGCAAACTTTGGTTCTCGTCAGCTGTGACAAACAAATCTTTAACCTGCAAAATACTGACTAAAGGTAAGTGCTTCTAATGAAAAGAGTTCAGTATGTCTCTACTGTTGCCCCGATTCGTCTACTTTATGATGGTCCCTTCCAAAAGTGGGCGCTTTGCATTATTACGTAAAATGTTTTAAGTGTTTTGTTGCGCCGATACAACAAGATTTAGTGTTTTTTTAGGCATTTTAATCAGAGAAAGATTTTAGCTTCGCATCCAGCTATCAGTTTCGTCTGAGTCCTATTCCAGGGGTTTCAAAATTCAAGTTGAAATTATAAGAATCTCATGAAAACGGTTCTTTTAAAGTGTAGTTTTCAAATCAAAAACAATTGAATTGTCCAATTCATAGCTTACCAATGTCTGGGAACGAGACATAACATTGGAAATTTAGACGTTTCAAAATTTAGATGGCACTTCTGATTTCAGCACAGTATGTATAAGTGAACACGTTGAAGGATTTGGATCGAAAACATCATGAAAACATCGTTGAAAATATCATGTTTATTTTCTTGGACGTTTTGCGTCGACAAGTTGTCCTTAAAAGAAAGGAAATGTCTGCTGATATGAATATTTTTTCTACCACATTGTCTTCCCGGAAAATCTTGGGATTAAACTCACGAGGAAATGGACCTATTTACAAACCCACGTCTTTGGTCTCTCACAATTCTCTAAGTTCACTTGTATCTTGTCCCAAGGAAAGAATATTCTATAGAAACAAGCATTAAAGTGAAGAGCCTCGAATAAGTGAAACAAAACGCAAAAACCGCATTTGGGAAACTTTCTGTTTTGAAAATATAGTTAGTATACATCAATTTTTCGGACCTCAACTGAACAACTCGTCAGACGACTGGCATTCTTGAAATAACTGCTTCATTCAATGTTTTCTGTACATGCATGCATGCGTGCTCTTTTCTTTTTTCAATGTTTAAGAAATGAAAATTGGCTCTGCAGTCTATGAAACTTTTCGCACCGAAGGAAAAGCAACAACAACAAGAAGAATAATAATAAGTAAACCACACCGGACACAACCATTTCATGTATGGGACAATCGATCTTTGAGGGGATCGAATTGAATGGATGCGTTTCGCAATGTGGTAATGGTTTGCGGTTTTGCTGGTTTGAATCCTAAACAATGAAATTCTGCTCTGCGGTCCTTGTTGTTGAAGCAGACGAATGAACGGAATTGTTTAGTCAGGCAGTCTCGGGTAGACAGTCTTGCAGACCTGTAACCTAGCTGTAACCTCGCGCGCGTGACAACTTAAAATGACAGTTTTGCACATTCGACTTTACTTTGGGGTTGTCATTAACTCACTCAGATCTGAGCACTTAAAAAAAGCCTCCAATTTGTTTTTCCTTCTTATCTGTTTCTTAGGGGGTTAAGTTACGTTATTTTGGGCAATTCGTGAGTTGCGCACTTGAAAATGATCTTGACTGATGAAATACTTTTCATGCAGATTCACGACGACCAAAATTTCTCTCTTTCTTCTCATAAGCAGCCACCTTCTGGTTTTCATGTATTAATTCTTCTATTTTTATTCTTATTTTTGTCTTGTCGCTCGATTTCAATTCACTTGTTTTCCCTCACAGTATTAGCTACCCTGTTCCTCGAAATCTCATAGTCTGCACTTCATATTAACGTAAATGTCAATCATTTCATTACAAATCTCCCTTCCTTTTCTGTTTCCGAAAACGCTCAATAGTTTTTCTTTTCCTTTCTTTCAGATTTCTTCTATCCGTGGAAGTTCCAGACGATTCCAATATGAAAACTGAAATCACCTTCATCGCAGCATGTTTCTTGTTGATGACTCAGTTGATGGTAATAACTGCAAGACCAAGATTCAACCGACGGATTGTTCGAATGAAAAGAAAAACAATGGAGGTATGCAACTTCTTAGAGATGTAAGAGATCGTTATAACGGCTAGAACCTTTGTTCAGTAGCACTTTTTAACAAGTTGACACGAATGTCATCCGGCAGGAAATCGATAATTCCCAAGGCAAGCAAAAGGACGTTTCAACCCCCCAAAACGGACAAACCAAAACACTTGAGCTCCTCCCATTTGAAACCTAACCCTGGAAATCTTCCGAATCCGCCCAAAAGACACACTTTAGGTGTTCTTTTCTCCACTGAGGGGTGACTCCGGTCAAGAAGACTGCAACAGATCTATGCAAATCGCACACAAGATCCTCATTTTAAAAAAATCTCCCCACACCCAATAACTTTTCTAGCCATAAAAATTACCATTACCAGTAGAAGGGAGCGACATATATTGTGCTGAGGTAACAAAAAGGTCTGTTACCGTATTAAAGGCCATGCTAACTGACTTATTTCAGGAAACACCAAGTGTCATTTTAACAAGACCTGTTCCAAGCAAAGAAAGTCATATAGACGAAGAGGGCGTCTTAGCGAAGCTGCTTAGCTTGGATGATGTTGACGCCAGCGACAGAAAACAGAAGCCAGATGCTTTCAGCACTGACTTAGCCAGATTATCATATGAACCAAAGCTTCAACCAGACGATAACACCAAGAAGACAAGACAAGGCAAAAGAAGAGTACGAAGACAACGTTGTTTTCCCCCTTTTTGGCAGTGTGCAGTACGACCGACTAACTCGAATCATAAGCAAGTACAACCTCAACGAGGCAACATGAACTTATAATGTGTCCAACGTTATTGGACGTTTTGCAGTAAACATTGAATGGTGTCAGTAGGAAATACACGACAACAACAAAAACGTATTATTCACCTGAGACAGCAGGCCTCCAATGTGACGAATCAGTCTCTGGTTTAAAAGACACCAGTTTAGCATTGATTGCAAGTTGCCACGCACTGTAAAGCCTGTTACGCTATTTTAGCCCAGAATTCATACTTTAAGAGTCGCTATATAAACCTATTTCTAGCTCCTAAAGTAAAAAAGCAACAACAACAACAAACAAAACAAACAAAAAAATAATAGCCGTTACTCAATGTTACCGAAAAGACATTTGTTTTCTTCGATTTTGCCATGCCGATTTAGAGCCCAGTTTAGAATTCATTTTTTGAGGGTGATATCAAATCCTTCAAAGAAATAACCATTCTGAAGATATTGAGCTAGAGGTTAAACTGTGTAATTGTCAAAAGTTAAGGTTTGTTAAAAAGTTCAGCATTTATGCTTTAGACAAATTAGCACTTAACATAATATACACTGTCGATGGGCTTGTACAATGAAGTTTTTATAACCTGAACGATTCAACGTGAATAGTTTTCCAGAAGTATAAAGTCATTTACACGCCCTCTGATTCCTTGATGTCTTTTGATTTCCTCTAGCTATTAAAGAATTACTGAAAACAAAAAAATGCTCTACAATAAAAGGTTCCCTTTTTATCAAAATTACCAATCGAACTACTAGTGAGAAAAACATGTTTATAATTAGAAGAATTTATTTTCAGGAATTAATAAAGCTTACTTTGTTCTCTAGCTTCAAACAAATGGAATACAACTTTTTTTCACATACGCCTCAGCGAAAGTAAATGCTTTTTTAGCCTTTGATCGGATCAAAGTTTATTTAAGTCGTATGTTTTTTGCGAAGTAAACAATTAAAATTGTTTTGCTGTATTTATACGCATAAGAAAATAAAAGGAATATTTAATTAATGGAATTGCATGTAAATATATGCGCTTTGCTTTGTCTACGTAATGTATAAATAAAAGAGCATTGAAGTGTTGTATAAGGTTATGTCCTAAAAGTGCTTATTGACTTATTGCTTACTATCAGCTGGGACTTACTCATAATACACGAGCGTTTATTAGAAGGCTCTATAGACCTCTATAATCGTTTGGGTTTTACGGGATTTTCAGGGGTGGATTAACTCACCCTACGACCAAAGGTTCAACCTGTCACTCATGTCCCAAATGTCACACCACGTCGTACATCAGGCGACACCAAAGGCCTGGTACGTACAATTTTGCCCTTTCAGTAGCCAGCGACCCCCTGTTTTCAGTTAACCTTCCATAGGTAAAGTCTGTATACGAGCCAAGTGGCCCATCAGGCCGGTGCTTATCCCGGTTTCTGTAGCATGAAGCGACAAGCGATAGTTCTACTCCTCCCTGGTTTACCATCGCAGGTTTACCCCCAGCATTAAGTTCGCCGGTACCCTGGTGGAGAGAGGCACGGTGAGACTGAAAGCGTCTTGCCAAAGAACACAACACAATGTCCCCGGCCAGGACTCGAACCCGGACCGCTCGATCCGAAGACGAGCGAACTAACCATGAGGCCACCACGTCCCTCCCTGACCTTCCATATAACTAAACGCGCGTGTATCCAACGCAAACCTTTATCTAATGGCTGCTCACCGTAAACGAACATGTCTAAATTAGTTTGTTTCCAGAAAGCCACGTTTGTCTACCTCTCTCGATGCAGGAAGATCTTAGTTCATATCCAAAGTGAAGAACGATTGTGATTGTCTAAGGTTTGGTGTTTTTAGCTCGATTAATTTAGAGTTAACATTGACAAGGTAAACGGGAAAGAGTCTTCAAATGTAACAAATTTTCGTGGGCAGATTTCCGACATTTCCCTGATCACTGTCGCTATATTAAAGGAGATTAACTCGCGTGTATGGAGTTTTGGGTGTACTTGAGAGTTTGGAGAGCAACCGAAAAAAAAAAAAAAAAAAAAAAAAAAGTGAGCCAATCTCGGATAAGCCTCAAGCAACTCTCGCTGACTGCATCGTCAAACGTACAAAAACTTAGCGAGAACTTTGTTCATAAACTCAGGCGGGAAACGATACATGAACTGCTTTAATTACTTTGGTCCCAATTCTGTCGGCGTGGCATAAAACCAGTTCTATAGCATTAAGTACTTGGTAATCAGAAATCATCAGTTACAGTTTTGAACAACTTCCAGCCATGGGGATGGAAGGGAAGCCATAAAAATCACTTTTATTCGGTTCCAAAGCTAATGGTATGTCTTCCTGTTAGTCCGCCATCGACATTTTGCTCCACATGCATAACATAAGCCGAAACATTTAACACCGTTAATTGTCATGGCATTATTACTAAGTACGTGTACCTCTTAAGGTAATCAAGGTTTACAGTGGAATATCTACACAAATCGACAACCCCTATTATCTTCTAGAGGATAGCCTGGCACCTTAAACAGTAATTTAGAAATTTTAAAATTACCTTGTATACTCGTAAGTGGTGATCGATTGCTTCCCTTCTGTGGTTAACGCCCATCATCGTGCAGGAAAAAGTTGTCAAGCCTAGAGCCAAAACGGATTATTTATTGTCCTTTTGAGTATCAGCGGTTTTTTGGTGGAAATGAAAATAAAATTCTGAGCATCCAAGAACAGGGAATATACTGCGTTTTTACGAACAACGAAATTGGGCAACTGAACAGTAGAACGTTTTCACCTGTCGTGTTTGGATTGTTCTACTGAGTCACGTGTAAGAAAATCATCCTTTGATGTCAATTTGCAATCGTTTGGGAATTACGCCTCAAAGAAACGTTTTCAAAACTTTACCCAATAACTTAAAAAACAAAACTCCCCTATTTTGCATAATCCCTGTTCCAATTGTGATTCTTTATAACACTCTAGCGCTTCCTTAATTTATTAAATGTGATCTGTGGTTTCCGTCGATTGGGAAGTAACGTTGTTTAAATTAAAAGTGGCGTCTATTATGTCAGGACAGTATAGAAGGGTATATTACCAATATGCAGCGTGTATAGCAAGGAAATGACGCAAACCTCCATGGTTTATGCATGGTTGTAATCAACCGAAAGGACTAATTGTCTAAAACTGGAAGATTTTTTTGATAAATGTTATGATGAAAACTGGTACAAGGTGGCCTCCGAAGCTGCTCGGGTTTTTCAATATATTGCCAGACTGATTTGTAAAACCGGCAAAAGACATAATTAAAATGACTAATATTTGCTGGGAATATCTGAAAATGGACCTTTATGTGCATATTCCACATAACTATCGAATTAATTTTCTTTCGGAGCTCTGTGTGTACCGTCGTTAAACGTTTTACCATCTGTCTAAGTACAAATGGTTGTTATCGTTTCGTTGTTGTTCCGTTGTCTTGGCAGTTTCTTCCAGTAAGGTTACCGCAGTGTGAAGCCGGAGAAGTAGTATTCCTGATCCCTCTGATGGGTTGCCACCTGACGGTAGGCCAATCCCCTTCCCCTACCTTAACTTACACCCGATTTTACCACGTTTGCTAAAAATACGAAAACGTATTTGTTCTTCTGGCTGGAGAGAGGCACAGTGACATACAGTTAACTGCTCAGTCAAGAGCGGACCTTTCTCCTGATGGTTAGAGGACCATTATTGATTGGGCCTCTGTGTATTTGCAGTAGTAAGATCGCAATGATATGTGCTTGGAGATAGACACGTCTGTTTTCAGTTAAAATTTGGGACGATTTTTCGTGCGTTATTTGCTCTACTTTGAATTGTCAGCTAAAGTCAGAGAAGGATGTACTTAGCGTTAAAGTGAATCTGGACGTTTTGAGAAACTATGGACAGTTATGTAAATGACAGTATGTATACAATTATAACCACTTGAAAAAGCGAGACATTTTTATCGAATGGACGCACTCGTACACTCCAAGGCACGGATTGCGGTGAATCAAAAGTACGACCAATTGATGATTAATGGCCAAACAAGTGTCGAGTTGAAAATGATTGGAAGTTAAAAAAGAAAGGAATATTTAAAATTGCAAGCGGTGTTATGGGGGCTAAAGCATTTTGTTATGTCTTAAAATCATGATGGATGACAAGCTAAATATGTAAATTTTTACTAGGTTGTAGAGATAAGGGTATCTCCACTTTGCATGCACGGATTCACGGCGTGGCCCATCATTTAAATGAGATAGGATTAATAGTAACTAGTAGTGGATTTTCTCGATCTCCAAGAGAAATATCTCTGTGTGCCCTGAAGATTGCAATCTTTGGACTTGCGTGTTCTGTACTTAATTCTCTGGTAAAGTTATGCAAGTCCCCTACTGGTGACCAATTCTTGCCATTCTGTGGTATACGCCCAAGTCCTCTCAGGAAACAATTATCTTGGCGTGCACATTTGAAATCATCTAAGACCTGCACGCACGCCAAGTTGCAGACAACAACTCGAAGACAACAGAAAAAAGCATCCCTTTTAAACCATGGGGTATTTCCTTGGTGGAATTTAAAAGGACCAAAACCGCGTTTAAGGTGATAAAGATCAAGGAATCGTCAAAAATGTTATGTCTGTGTCTGTCAGGTTAACACGTATTTGTGGCACATTGCGAAATGAAAGCTGTCAAAACTGATATTGAACTTATCATATCACGAACCAAACTTTATTGGATGCTTTAAGAGGTTTTCATAGAACCACCAGTTACCCTGCAAAGGACGACATGGTCCAAGCATGGTGTTCCTTGCGTCTAAGGAAGTCTCTCCAAAAATCTTCCTGTTTTGATATGGATTATTTTCTTATAACACTTCCTTCATCTTGAAGTGACCAAATTATTCAAATGCTTCGCACAGGAAATGAAAGCTAAATACTGTATAGACGAATTAAGTCAAGAGAAATAATGTAAAGCATCTCTGCAGTGTGTCTGTATCTCTTGGTTTGCATAAGCAAATTGAACCATCTGGAAACCACATTCTACGTGTTTTGAATGATATATACATAGATAAAGGTAAAAACAAACAAATTATTTACATAAGTGATTAGGTTAACTTGACAATTAACACTAATCATCCTTCTTAAGCACTTGTTATCACTGACAAGCTTTCAGTAGCATCTTGAAAAAAAAATCTCTTGTTGACTCTTTGGCACCATTCTGACACTCTTATCTGCGCCAAAATCACTCATATAATGCGATTTCATCCAGGTGAAAAATACACTTACGCGCTTGCTTTCTCAAACAAGAACTAGAAGCCATAAGTAAAACTTAAAAGAGAGCCTCGTTTTGGATTCATTAAGAATGCTTTACGTTGCTTTCGCATGTATTTACCGTATAAGTACAAAGAGAAGGAACAATTAAATTTATTTTCCTCATGGCGAACAAGCCTCTTTTTCTCTGATTTAAACACAGACGTGCGGTATGCAATACTTGACCTTTGGTCTCTACCACCTTCACGTGAAGCCACAAGACACGCAACAAAGTTTTTGGTGCCTGTTCGATCCTAACGCTTTTTGTGGTATTATTTAAGAAAGCAAATCTATCAAACGCGATTTGGTGCAAAATAAAGGGCAAAATCCTATTGATCCTGTCCATCGAAACGACATACTCGTTCGTGGACCAAATATGCACGACGCGCACCTTTCTAGACTACACGCCAGCTTGAATAGTTTGTCTGTTTACTTCTCAAACCTGAAACAACTGGATTTAATTTTAATTCCATGCTAACCCAGGTGTTCTAGAAGTCTGGGTTTATAGGTCTGAGGTCCGGGTTTATCGATTAATTCTAGTGCCTAATGGAACCAAAATGCCTAGTAGTACAGGCTTTGCTCCACTCGGCGTCAACTAAGACTATTTCTTCGTCCGAGGCGACAAATTATAGATCAATTTGTATAACGAGTTTCAGGCTAAATGTTTGTTGTCTTGTCTTCGACCACCTTTCTTCACTTTTGATGACACTCCTTCGTTGATGTTATGTAAACAATTCAAGAGGGTCATACCTATGTCGCACCTAAGAAGGCTTTCTTAGAACTCAACAAAGCCGATTAAGTCTTGGAATCCTTT